ATCGAAAAAAAAAATATTAAACAAACATTTTTTATTAAAAAAACCAGGGAAAAAATATTAAAAAAACCATTTTTTAAATAAATCGGAATTAGAAAAAAACATTAAAAAACAAAAATAAATAAAACCATTTTTTAAAAAATAAAAATGAAGAACATGAAAAATATAAATAAGAAAAAATAATTTGAAATAAAAAAACGAAAATTAAAAAAATAAAAGAAAATAAAAAAGAAAAGGAAAAATAGAAATTGAAATGGCGTGATATGGGGAGATATTAAGAGGATTTACATATTTAAAAAGAATAATTGATTTTCCATAATAATATAATATGGTAACTTTCAATAATATTAAATATGGGTATTTTGGATAATTTGAGTGAATTGGGTCTATCACAAATATCACTTAATAAAAATGGATTTATCATTAACTGAAATATCAACTAGGGGTGTTTGTCGAATAGCCCCTATAATTATATCGTCTGCCACCGGTATTAGATGTTGGGTAGTTATACTAGGTGGATTTTAATCGTAAATCTATATGTAATTACATATACACATTTGTATGTTTGTTTAATATATAGTTATTTAATCAGATCTATTATTAAAATTCACCCAATATAAATAATGAGGTTTAACATTTAACTCCACGTCGTCCACCATCCTAATTAGTATATATAAAAAGTCAATCAAACTGATTAAGAAAATGAGCGTCAATGTATAAGGCTCACAATGATTGTTGTTAAATTAAATCGAATCGCAAATTGATTTATCAAAAACTCAAATCGTAGATTGATATGTATTAGGATTCAATGTATACTAAGGGCGGATCCAGGGGTTTTTTCTTTGGGGAGCTAGAAATGGAGATGAATTAAGAGAATTTTTTTTTTTTTTATGGACTAAAGTGTATAAAATTTGAAGTTTGGAGGGCGAAAGTGCATTAACTTATACATAAATAACATATAAAAATAAATAAATAAATAAAACTTGTTAAAAATAAAAATTCTGGGGGTGGGGCCACCCCAAGCATACTCATAGGTACGCCGCCCCTGTTTCTTTTATTTATGTTTGTTTACAAACTGTTGCAACACTAAACAGAATAATAAAAAAAAATTGATACAAATTTTGCCTAATTAAGTGCAATGGAACAAATTTATCAAAACAATCGTAAGATTTTATTAAAATTTAGCCACATAATAATAGACGAAAAAATTGGAGTTAAAAAATGAAAAAAGAGTTAAATTTTGTGACGGTCTTGAACATTATAAAACTGAGAAGAAAAAAGAATTATGTAAAAAGAAAAGAAAAAACAAAAGTCAACTCCGGCTAACCAACTGTCAAAATCGGGCCATAGATTAAAATTGGCGAATTAAAAGTCAACTCCAGCTAACCAACTGTCAAAATTGGGCCATAGATTAAAATTGGCGAATTGATGAAAAACAGTTAAATTAGGGTTTAAATCATGAGTTGATTATGTTTAAAAGGGTTATGTGTTATTTTGATATATATGGTCTAAGTTTTCTTTAGTAGCAACTAGCAATAACTGTTGGAGGGATGATTGTATTTACAAAACAAAAATATTGAATATTAGGTTTTTTGTTTCGTGTCTTAACATGAGCGTTTTTTTCCCAATTTCTAGTTGGAGCAAATATACATAGATGAATCTGGTTGTTCAACCTTGATTGAATTATATCCAATTTTGTGTTTGAGTATGTTGGAAAAAGTAATTGAGGCGAGTTCCAACGAGCTATAATCAAAATGAACATAAATCGAGCTCAAGTAGATCTTTCTTTAAAATCGAGTTCAGCAGTCTCGAGCCGAGCTTCGTAGCTTATCGAACGAAAATATTTACCCAAACACTGGTTATTATAATATCAAAAACCGAGCTCAAACGAGCTTTTCAACAATCAAACGTGAATCGAATATCGAATAACTTGGTTGAATTTGATGAAATCAAATAAAGGAGATAATTTTGCATCATATAAGAACTCATTTAACATGCAAACATACATATTATTTGTCTGCAAATTAACGTGAATAATTATTTATATATGTGTGAGGAGGTTGGTGCAGCATAAAAACAAATCCGTGGGACCTACCAAAGAAAGGCCTAATAAATCATATAATTCCCTGAAATTTTATATCAACATTTAAAAAATGTGACTACAAGAAGATAAAAAAAAAATAGTGAAAATTCTTCGGCTTAATTCTACTTTGCACCCTCAAATTTTTTTTATGGTAGTTAGGACCCTCAAGACACAATAAATCATTCATGATGCACCTGGATGAATTTTTTAAGTTAATAAAAGTAATTTAATATTTTTAGTGATAGTTTTTAGAACGTCAAATGTCAAATTAATTTTTCTATTTATCAATCTTTTTGAAACTATGAAGTGAAAAAAAAACATCTCATCAACATATTAAATTGTTTTTTTCAACCAAAAAAAATATTTTACAAAAGACAGAAAGAACAAAAAATATCCTCAGCTATTTAGATATTAAACTATTTGAAAATTATATTTTCTTCAAAAGATTTCTACCAAATGTATTTACTAATCACAATATAAAAGTCCATCAATTGAATAGTTCGGTTATTTTTTTTTTGTATAAACATAGAGTTTTTACAGTAATTCTTTGAGATTTTGTGCTTTTCGTATTTTGTACATTCGAAATTATGTTTCAGGTGGAAGAAAGTAACAATTTTATTTGTTATTTTGCACCCTATAAATATATTTAAAAAAATCAATAAAAATGAAAACACCCTCACTGAGTTTTAAATATTCAATTCAGTGTACATTGTGAATGATTTATTGTGTTTCGAGGGTGCAAAATGCTATTAATTTTTTTTAAGGGTGCAAAGTGGAATTAAGCCAAATTCTATTCTGTAAATAGTTGGAAAATAATTAAGT